TGCTGGTATAGAAGATCTTGGAAGCCTCGAACAAGCCTTCCTCATAAGCCTTGTCACCAGACTCCTCAATGTTAGCAACATTGGTAGCTCGGAGGAAGTCCTCAAGCTCGGAGAGCTGATCAAGGCGAGCATAGGAGAAAGCCAGAGCAGTGTCGATAGCAGGCTCACGGAGGGTCTTGCGGCACATGCGTAAGTACTTGACGAGATCCTCGTTCTTACCGGCATGCGTAGCAACTTCAATGACCTCCAGGTAATTGCGGGGGTCCTCAGCCTTGATGTAGGACTCGATAGCATCAGAAACACGGAGACCATCAAGCTGAGCCTTGGCAACCTTGCTCCAGACCTCAGGCAGGTCAACCTCTTCGGCATAACCCTGGGCACGGTCGATGCTAACCACGTTGTCGATCAGTACATCAACAGCGGCAGACTTGTTATCAGCCTTCTTGTAGATCTCGAAAGCTTCCTCAAAGAGGCCAACCTCAATGCAGGCAGTGGCGATTTCATCGGCGTTGTAGTTATCGAGCTTGTGAATATAGTCCATGACACGGCCCTTGTCAGCCTTGGCAGCAGTGAACATAAGCAAGTTCTGAAGGTTCTGGTTGTCGCTGAAAGGTGAAGGCTCGAGGACAATCTTCTCAAGAAGCTCAATAAGCTCAAGAGGAAGATCATTCTCAAGGAAAGCAGCGACGGCCACGGAGACCTTTGAAGGATCATTGGCCTCGGGAACCGCAGTAGCGGTGACTTGGTCAACAACAGATCGTCGGTGGATGTTGTTCTCGCTCAGCACGAAACCCCACAGCTCAGCATCAGATCGCTCCAACAGATATCGCGCCTGGGCCCTGTACATGGAGTTCTCGTTGGTGATGTTGACGAGCTCCAAGTCATTCTGGCCCTTGGAGTAGGCAATGTAGGCCAAGTTAGGGTCGCGCTTCTCGCAGTACTTTCCGACAGTGAGCGTGTCGTACTGGTCGTTCTCCTTAAGGAACTTCTCCGGGTTGTTGTTGGAGTCAATATAGATCTTGGCAAGGGCGTTGAACACAGCTTGCTGTTGGTTACCCTCGTTAAGGGTCTTCTCGAGGAAGGGCAAGAGAAGCTTGAGTCTATTTCGAGACTCGACCTCGGAGACAAGTGAATCAATGCTGATAGCCTGGGCGTTAACAGTCTGCAACAGCTGCTTGATGACATTTTCGTCGCAATCGACATCCAGAAGGCCTCCGATGACTTCGGGAGCTCGTGTAGGGTTCACCGACTGGACGTAGGTCTCAATAGCGGCAAATTGCTGGTTCTGGTACAGGTATAGAATCAGATCGTGAACGAAGTTGAAACGATCGCAGACGATGATCAGAGGAAGCTGCTCGGGCAGCTTGGCTTCCTTAAGGAAGTTCTTGACCTTCTCTGGGTTGTACACGTTACTATCGCGGCACAATCGCTCAACTTCGTTAAACTGGCCCATCTTGGTAGCAGCCTCAATGTATTTGAAGTGCACGTCGGGGTCCTCTGACAGGTTCACGATGCTACCGAGGTAGTAGAACAGACCCTCGGCAGTCTTGTACTTTTCGAAGAGATCAATCAGGCGAACAGCTCCCAGGAGGTCGGAGTACTTGGTGGCGATAGTAACAACTGACTGCAAGTTTTGGCGGATGTTCGTCTTCATCATAGCATCTAGGCAATCAAGGGATTGCTCGACAGAGAGCTTGCCGAAAAAGGTGGTGAGCCAATCAGGGTTGAAGTTGGGGGAGCCAGGAATGTTGACGACGACGCGCTTAATGGCCTCGGGATCCTCATAGAGCTCAAGAGCCTTTTGAGGAAGGTTGGCCTGCTCGCAAAGTTGGGCAATGCGAGACTTATCGAAGTGAGTGAACATCTCGTTGCCCAGAATAGCCTCGGCAACCTGAGGAGCGTGCATAAGGTTCATCTCAAGTAGGCGGGTCTGAAGGCGGGCATGTTCAGGCTTGTTCTCTTTCAGCGCATCCAGCAAGAAGGCAGTGGCTTGTTGGATCATGCCCTGCCCTTGGAAGATGTCGCAAACACGCTCCAAATCAACCAAGGAGCCCTGTTCGTTATTAGCCAGAGCACTAGCAAACTCGGCACCCTTCTCAGGGTTGATACGAATGATATGCTGAAGAAGTTGGATATAATCAGGTTGATAGCCAGTCTGGGCCGAGTATGGGAGAATCTTATCAAACTGGCCGGTCTCGGCAAAACCAGCTACAACCTTCGCAGGAACCTCCGCCTTAAGGTAAATGGTAAGGGCCATGTTCATATCGTACGGACGGACCAAGTCTCCGAGCGCCTCGGAGCAGTCCAACTTGCCCTCCTTCAACCACTTCTCGAGCAAATGCTTGCGATTCTGCTGAAGAACGGGCTGTGCAAGCTCGAGGGTTTCCTCGCGGTTCAAGGAGCCCTTGTCCAAAAGCATACCGAAGTATTGAAGTGTGAAAGCCATCTGACCAGGTTGAACAGGAAGGCGCTTGAACTTCTCGATAGTCTCAGCGCTTCGCAGGAAGCCCCGCGGGGAGTTGGCGGCAACCTTAGCAGCCTCCAAATAGCTCCCTGCGTTGAACAACTGCTCGAATTGGCGGGCATAAAGGTTATCAGCACCGGGAAGTCCAGCTCTTGAGGCCATCTTGATAGCCATTTCTGAGTTGGCGGGGTTCTGAAGAAGGTACGGGATGATGTTGTTGTCGTCGATGGTCACGAAAAGAACTTGACCCTTGCGGTTGATGCCGACAATACCAGAAGAGCCGTCGTCTGTGCAGGTTGTGAAAATCGTCTCGCTCGAAATTCGGTTCATGTAGATACACGAGGCAGTCTCGAGATCATAGAGGTGGATAAAGCCGTACTTGGTGACCATATAGATGACGCCGTACTTCTGAGAAACCTGGAGAGCGACGGGGAAATCGTTGGTGGCTTCGGGGGGGAAGAACATGTCGACCGCCTTCTTTTGGAAGACCGGATTCGACTCGGGGTGGTCGACCTCAACGATGTGAAGTTTAGCGCCGGTGGCCGTTCGTACAGCGAAACTGAAGAACTTGGTATCTTGGGGAGCACCTTCTAGGCGAAGTGTACCGAAGGCGGCGGCATGACCTTCTATGGCCTGGCTAATTCCACGATCCTTAGAGTAGAGCTGCATAGCACCAACCACACGGCCCTGCTGGGATGAAATGCCAACGACTACCATCCACTTGCCATCGCTGTTAACTCGGTAGTTGATAATTTGGCAGCCCTAAAACAACACTGTTAGCACTAATGTTGGATTAGTAGTGAATGAAGGGGCTCACTTGAAGGTTATCATTGCGCTGGAACACCTTGACGGGGGCATCTTGACCCGCATCGTAGACATTCCAATGGAAGACACTGGTTGTTGTGACAAGACCAAGCTCGTTCTCGCTGATCCACTTCCAGAACTGGACATCCTCGTTCATGGTGCAGGACTTGAGCTTCTTCTTTTGCTCGAGGTCGAAGATCTGCAGTGTTCTAGACTGAGCCTTGAGAGCAATGACCTGTCGGTTCCAGTGCATGATGGCACTGTCGGCCTTGATCGGCCGACGGGTGACGTTGTTGCCATTCTTGAGCTCGATGATAACGACCTCAGGTTGGGCAGCTTCGTTCTTCTTTTCTCGCACACACACGTAGGAGTCGGACTCGAGTGTCTAGCTTCTAGTTAGCTTATGACGTTGTTTCCGGCGACCAAGTAGCTGGTGGCAGGTTTCGAGACGTACGCAGGAGTTGAAGCCAATGCTCTGTGTGTCCACGCCAACATTGGCGAGCTGGACAAGCTCCTGAAACTTGATGGGCAGAGTCGGCATGGCGCCGGTGTGGCCTATGATAAGGTAATAGGGACCTTTCGCAAATCGACGCTCCTAAGCTCGAGATCGGTCGAAAGACTGGGGAGAAGAATTGGAATCGATCTCGGATCGATCGTCAGTAATTATGCCGGGGTTGCCTACGGTGGGCGCAGTGTGAGCTTCCATATGCCGCGTGGCAGGAGACAAGATTTCGAAGTAAACAGAGAAAGCGCGTGAAATCGAAGGAAAGGAAACGAAAGCGACGAAGTGGAGTTCGCTATTAATCGAATTCTACTGATGGTCGCAGAGAGGAAGAAGATGGGGATGGTGTTGAAGGTGTGTTTTGGTTAAAGGAGAGAGCGAGCAGGAAGAAGGTTAGGTTAGGTCCAGGTCACTTTGGGTTACGTTACCTGTTCTGTTTGGAAGGAGCCACAGGTACAGCTGCATTGAAGTGGAGAGTGGAGGTGCAGCACTGCAGTCAGGACAAAAGGTACGTACCCTTTAGTGAAATACGGCGTGCCTGGGGAGCTAGCGTCCACTGGCTACCACTGGCCAACAGTGCCAATGCTGACAGCTTATTTCAGGAGCCAATAATTAGCCGCATGGCGCCTTGATTTTCCGAGCCGGCCGAGATTGAATCAAGCAGGCTTTCGTCATCAACAAACAGGTTGCCAATCGATCAAGGGAAAAGGGGACCATGAATCACTGACAAGATTACCCTGGACCCATCAATTGATATGATTTAACATAAAGGCTTTATACCGGTAGCTAATTTCTTGCAGAATAGTGGTGACTGTCTCATAGCGAAACTCGGTTTACATTTCGTTAAAAATTCATGGTTAAACTTATTCTGACTGAGATACTGGCTGTAGCCTGTAGCACAACAGCTTAAGCTCAGTCACAGCATGCTGCATGTGCAAGCAGAGGTATTAGGACTCATGTTTATCAAGAGTTCTATAGAAATAAACAAAGAAGAATAAGTCCGAGAAAACATTCATACTCATACACAATTGAAATCATAGTCAGTATATCATACCTGCTGTTCATATGACTTAATTGAATCCCAAGAAACCATTTCAAGGTACACAGCCACTTATGTAGGAAAATCATATCATCATCCGTTTGATACATGCCATTCCATATCCAAACACCATTTCACACTTTATTCGCTCAAGCTCAAACATGATAAACCAAACCAACTTCAACATCCAACTACGATAAATGCTCCCGATCAATATGATGTGTGACAGCCGCCTCATCTCCTTCAAACTCTTCGCAAAACGGGCACTTAGCCGTCTCAACACCAGCACTCGGCGCACTCCCCAGACCCTCATCAAAATCCGGTATGAAATCCGCCAGACTCCTCGGTGGTGGTCCGGTAGCAAACTCATCGTCTCGCCTCACATCCGTATATCGCATAGTAAATCTTGTTGACTGCGCCTGACTTCCCGTCTCTCCCGTCGCTGCAGTAGTGTTGCCCATTCTCTGTACTCGGCCAACCTGACCATCTTGTAGTCGCACTTTGATTCCTCGTGGATGATTGCCCCGTGTGAGGATATCCTGCACTATTCCTTTTGTCTCTTCTCCTGTAGGTTGGTCTTCTTTCAGTATGATGAATACTGAAGCTCCAGGGATGACATGTTGTACTGTTGGGACTGTGCCTGATGCTTGTTGTGGTGTTGCAGGTGCGCGAGATGGCCGTAATGGGCCTCCTCGTTGGTTATTCTGCTGTTGACGCGGGGGGCGAGGTTGCCGATTTCGAGGCCGATTTGGCCGGTTCATCGTTGCAAAGAATGATGTTGAGCCTTTGGATAATACAAAAATGGATTGTCTTGCTGTCCAAAAGTGAGACGGTAAATAAATCAAGGATTTAGAAAACGCAGTTTTGGTAAACTTGAAGTTGATTTGATGATGCATGAGTAACAAATATCCAGTGTCCCTCATAAAATATATTTACCCTAAAGCAAACCGTGACACCGCAAAAATAGAACATAAAATCACTAACAAACACAATCAACGTTCGCAATTAAATTATAGTGAGAATGGAGAATTGATTTTATTACAATGATGTAATTAAGTTGAGATTGTCATAGTATTGCCTCTTATCAAACGACCTATGCTGTTTAATGCCCAAACCCTGATTCTGTGTATGCTTGAATTTCCACGCTGTGCACAACACTCCAAGAGTGTTTCCATATTTTCTTTTCATCCTTCAGCAGAGGTAGGAGCGGGCTTCTTCCTGATATCCTTCCAGCCCATTCCAAAAGATGAAAGAACCATAGCACACGACGTGCCCACAGCAAGCAGAAACGTCGCACGCACACCTCTAGAGTACGACCACAAGACCTGCGGCAAATCTGCTCCAGAAACAACTTCACTGACTGCTCCAGCACCGGCATCGATGATCATGTCAGCGTTGACATCTGGAAGTCTTGCGACAAGCTCCTTGCGAAGCTCATGAGTGAAAATGACATTAGCAGCAGTGATGAAGATAGCACTGCCAAAGGTTTGAGAGAAAGTCAAGATCGCCATAGCTATAGGAGTAACATCGGGGCTCGTGTTGGCCTGGATAGCGATAATGGGCATCTGTAGACCAAGGCCACGACCAAGACCTATCAGAATCTGATAACCGGCCCATGTAGCCGTAGAAGCGTAAGGGCCCATGGAAGAGGCTAGACCAAAGCCAATAGAAGAAAGAATGGCACTGGCCGTGGTAAACGGAAGATAGTAGCCAACCTTCTGAGCTGCTGTCTGTTAGCTAAAGGACTTCAAGTGCCATAGCAAGAGGACTTACCAAGAGCGCCACTCGCGACAGCTGCGAAGATGACACTGAGAATACTGGGCAGAAGATTGACACCACTAGTAAAAGGTGACGCATCTTTAGCCGACTGGAAATAGACAGGAAAGTAGTACGATGCCACCATCACCGTAGAAAAGAGGAATGACTGTGACAGGCATGAAGCCCAGACCTCCCTTGTGCGCACAATTGGCAGTGGAATCATGGCCTCAGAACCAACGCGATGCTCCCAATATATGAAGATAATGAAAAGAACACCACCGCCACAGAAGAGCCCAATGACAGTTGCAGAGCCCCAAGGGTATTCGAGACCACCCCATTGAAGCGCTAGCAGCAACATCATTATGCTAGGGCAGAACAAGATGAAGCCCGTGAAGTCGAGTTTCGTTTTCAGAATCTGCATGGCGGTCTCATTTCTACTAGCTCGATGATCGGGCATATGAACGAACAGAATCAGGACTGCACAGATGGCGCCGATTGGAAGGTTGATATAAAAGCCTAGGCGTATAGTCAGAATTTTTATAAGTACAGACCAAGTATGAACATAACTTACACCATCGCCAAGTGGTATACTGAGTAAAAGCGCCTCCTATCAAGGGGCCACTGATGAGTCCCAGCTGAGCAAACCCCATGATAATACCAACAAGAGACGGACGTCTATGGATGGGAACCGCCTTCGCAATCATGGTGAGAGCACCATTCTGAATACCAGAAGAGCCTATACCAGCAACGGCTCGGCCGATAATCAACATAGCAGACGACTGGGCTACGCCGCAAATAAGACTGCCAACTTCAAACACGAAGAACAACGCTAAGAAAGTCCACTGCAGTGTGTGAGACTCTGTACTATAAGTTGGGTTGGAGCTTACTCACTCTTGTGTTGAAGTACATGTATATTTTGCCGGTAAGTGGTTGTAGGGCAGCACTGTGACATATCGTGGTCAGCAATGTAGGAGGATTTAACCTAGCGCTGACCCTACCTAGCAAGATTGTATGCACTGGCATACCATCCTATGTCTGGTAAAGAATGAAAGTCCGATGTTATGCGCGGAACAGCCTAAATGTCCTTAGTATACAGTGAAATTCCAAGGACTGAATATGTAATTACCGTTGAGATAATAGACATATCCAGCAGCATCAAGAAGGCAGCAAGGGTAAGTGATATCATCATGCTTGCGAGCTTCCATCCCGATATCCATTCTGTTTCCTCCTCCTCTGTTGTGAGTTCACCATCTTCTGATTTCTTGGGCTTCTCATCTTGAGTGGCTTCGTTCAAGGTCGGTGTATTCGAAGGCGATTCGGTCTTTTCATCATCACCACTGATGGCTTGAGGCTCGTTGCGTTCTGCCTTTGGTGTCGGCGTAGTCATATTGTCACGTTCGAAGATAGACTCTCAAATTGTGATGCAGAGTTGGTTGAGCCTCGAGGCTTTCAAAAAGTTGCTTGGCATGTTGGGGATACCGCATTTTTAAACGATTTGATGAAACAGCCATATAAGACATAAGCACTGTCTCTGTTAAGAAATCCGTAGTGTACTTTTTTGTCCAGGGTTCATTTGTTGTGGTGTAAGGCTGAAAGTGGTGTCAACGGAGTTGGTTATCACTTCTGGAACGGAATTCCGCTCAACCATTGAGCTCGCAGAACTAATTGCACCATATCGCTTTATTGGTGATTTTTTTTTAGATGGATTCGGTGCAATATTATATCCCGGTCCTCATGCAACAAGATATCAAAACTCCCATGGCCCAAAAACGTCGCCCATCCATGTTACATCACCAAAATCGATCATGTTAATGTTCACCATCTCCATGGATGCCTGAGCCGTTGAAGGTGGAGGAGGTGTTGGTACCGGTGGACCTGCTCCTTGATTTGTCGGTATCGAAGGTGCATTTCTGAGGTGCCGTGATAGTGTAGGTTCCCATGAAATTCGAATGTTGTTCATAATCTTAGCCCCCATAACAAACACCGTTTCTTCACCTGGGCTTGCTGTCATCTTGTAGACAGAACCTAGCCGTGTAAAGAAATCGACGACCTGGTCCAGTAGTACAAGTAAGTCAGCTGTGTTTCGGACAAGCTCCTTGTCCCAAGCAGGATCCTCCGAAGTAGTAAGTCGATAGAGGGCGATCTGAACCTGCGACAGCTGGATATAGATTGCAAAAGGTGCCCCTGGAACATCTTCTACAGGTATGCCAAAGAAAACGTCGTACCATGACCTTATTGCTTGAAGGCAAGAATACATGCTTTCAATTCGCTGGTTGACCGGAATGTTTTGCATAAAGAGCCCGACGGAGTTGATTTGAATCTCTGTCGCGAGTGAATGTGCTTGCAAAACCGCTGGAATATGTTAGTACGTCTCTCGCCAAGAACGCATGTCAGACTTACGGGTTATAGGCATATTCGGTGGTAATCCGTCTCGGACTGCTTGAAGTTTGGCAAGTAAACTCTTTCTGAAAACATACGTGGGCGCCGAGGGCGATTCGCCCATGACATCGCGAACGAGTAGTTTCTGTGCCTCATCTGCAACAAGCTGATACCTGACAAATGCGACCAAGAGCTCGTCAGATGGACATAGTTTGTCTCTTTCAAGAGCATCTAAGCAGTCACTCATATGTGGTGTCCATTGGAGAGGATCCATCTTGCCAACAAAGGATGACATGCTATACAGGTCAGTAAGGATTACAAACTGGGGGAAATGCCACTTACACTGAAGTCAAAAACCATAGTGACACAACAGCTCGCCTTTCTTCTTGGGTGCGTAGCCGAGGTGGAGGAGGTCGTCCTCCCCACATCTTGAAACATATTGTGAAGTACTGTTCTTCAACGGGGGCTTTGGTAAGACCGAGATCATATGCAAGTAGGACAGCCATTTGGCAAAATGTGATGATAAACGGCCTGCCTGGACTCGAAGTGGTGGCGGCCCTAGATAATGTCAGAACATGCTACGACGAGGAGCTTAGTAAAAAACTAACCATGAAATATAACATATGAGTCCCTGAAGGCAGTCCATAGATCTCTCGTGGTTTATGATAATTCTCGTGGCGATTTCTTGGCGAACTTGATCTTTCATCTTCATCTGCTGCTCGACGCACATGGAGGTAATGTTCATAATACATAACCACAGGAATGGTTTCTCTTTCCGGAGAGCCGCGGCTGTTATATCATGTGGTAAAATCATGCAAGGAAAGTTCTTCAGCCATTGTTGGAATTTTGCCAGATACATTTCAGCCTCTTCTGGGGTGGGATCAAACGAGGTGGAGGGATCTTCACCAATGCTGGATGGGGAGGTATCGGGATGGGTATTGGCTGTGCTTCTTGAATCATAATTATGAGGCACAGTATATGAACGAGGATAAGTTTCTGAGGAGGAAGAGGAAGCTGCAGCAGTTGCTAGTGATTCTAACCGACTAGTGAGGTGACCCATGCTGGAGGAATTCATCAAGGGACTGGAGTCACCGGGACCTGCGGAGTGCAAATGTCCATTTGACGGCTGAGAAGCGCGAAGAATAGTGACGAGGTCTTCAAGTTTCTCTTCAAGCTGAGCGGTTCTAGAAGACGTTGACTTTTTCGCAACTCGTTTTCGCGAGGTTGCCATTGGCTGACATGGCTTGCCAAGACGATGGCATCTTTCACAATCCTGGCCAGAAGCTCTCAAGATACACTTGCATTTAGCTCTTTGACATGCAGTGCAAGCCCTTCCATAGCCAGCAGGAGTCCCTGTCGTACTAGAGGCTGCAGAGCCTGACAGTTCGGGTGGTGCCATGGCTTGGGTGTGTAATTGCTGCGCCAAGAGAGCTCGCGTACGTAAACAAATAAACAAAGAAGCGATGAACAAATTCCGGTTGCGCAGTAGGGCTGATAGGAATTCGAGATTCAGTTTTGAAGGGGTTTGGTATGGGAATTGAAGGAGACCGGAGTTAGGGAATGCCGGGAGGATAATATACCGGAGTTCGGAATTCGGTTAAATCCGTATTACTATATCTAAGCAGTCGCAATTCTATGATGACCCGAAGTGCTATCATTGATTCGGAGAGATTTCGCCAGATTATCATGTATTATCAATCAGAATGTCTCAGTACTGATTTTCAATATGTGGCGTGGATGATTCTGTTCTCATAATCAGATCACTACGGAGTCTGAGCCAGCCCTATACACCGGAGAATAATTACTAACAGCAGGCTCATCTCTCACCAATAGCCAAGTGATGAGCTATTGGAGATTTTCCATTATGTGCAATTAGGCACCAATTGATCTTCCAGTCGGGGCTCTTATATGCCAATATTTGATGTTGATTTTGTTATCTCTGGGCTTTTTTTAAAGGCTTCTCAGTTTATGCGGCGGATATAAACGATATGCTTGATCGATATCACCGTATGGTTGCTTCTACCGGCGCAAACCGTTATGCAGGCATGGTTAGCCCTTGTAAACTTGAGAATGTTTAAACAAAGCGAATAAGCGAGATCCGACTTGAAAGAGAAAGGGTTGTCCCTATATTGAATCCAAAGCGATCTATTCAAGCAACATCAATCTTATCTAACAAAAATTGGAGACAACTATATCTTTCGTCACTTGCTTCTTTGGTATCAGATCTCAGGGTTATATTACAAGCCAAATCCGCCTTCCCTTAATTGGTCGTAAAATTAACCAACACGACATATAATTGGTTGGACATGTCTTAGCTCCAGGGGCCAATCAAAGCCGGTGTTTCCCGCTCTTCTCAATTAACTAACGTCACAAGCGTATCTCGGGTTACTTACCTGGTAGATTTCTTCTCAACTCCATCTTCATCGCCGACATCGCAGTTCCCAATAACCATAGCCAACTCGGCAAATATCAACATGGCGGTTCCGTCTGTCGCAGCAGCTGAGATGCTGCCTCGATTCCTTCTTCCTCGTCTCAGCTGGGGCGCACCGCTCTCCGTATCACGGGCGACTCGGCCATTCGCCTCTATCCCTTCTAGCGATCAAAGGAGGTCGTTTGCATCAATCCAGGCTGGTCCTGTTCCTAGACGTCGCTCTCCTCAAGCCGAAATTCCTATTATAAAACGAGCATTTCATGCGACAGCCATCAGACAACGAGATCACCACTTCGATACACTCAAGTTTGTTAAGCGATTACAGGGTGAAGGGTTTACTGAGGAGCAGTCGGCTGCTATGATGAAGGTGCTGAATGATGTTATCGAAGAGAGGCGCGCTCTATCGTTCATTACATTCTATGGCCATACTAACTGACCATTCAGTATCCAAAATCTCACCCGAACAATGGTGCTCCGCGAAGACGCAGCAAAAGCGACGTATACTCAAAAGGTCGACTTTGCTAAGCTGCGCTCCGAGCTTCTCTCCGCCGATTCCACCGAATCCAACACCACACGCACAGCACACGAACGATTGACAAACGACATTGCCAAGCTCAGCAACCGACTGCGCGACGAGATCAGCCGTACACAAGCCAGCGTGCGCCTCGACCTTAACTTAGAGAAGGGCCGTATTAGGGAGGAGGCTGTGGGCCAGGAGCTCAAGATCAAGGAGACGGAGACAAAGATTGAGCAGGAGGTTGCTGCGCTGAGGGAGAAGCTCGAGCAGGTCAAGTTCCAGACACTCCAGTGGCTTATGGGTGTGTGCACCGGTTTTGCAGCGCTGTTGCTTGGTGCTTGGAGATTGCTCATGTAAAATATGGATGCATTGGGGTGTTGGTTGGAGTCAGGCGGGTTTGGAGTTGTATAAACAGTGTCATGGTTCACCTTAACCGATAGATTTTCTAGTGTCTGAAATCAAATTTGTGCGTAACATACCGCTTCTGCTAGCTTGAGCTGATGTGAATCAGATCAATTCAACTTTCCTCTAACAAACTCCTCACACTCAGATACTTATAGGGGTGTCTTCATTCTGGTTTTCATGGTTAAAGCTTTCTCAATGGCGCCTTTCAACAACAACTTCAAGGACTCAACAGAACACACCCCGCCCCCGCCCCACGTCACCCCGCCATAGACGGACATTGTATGTCCTTAGATCGGGTGTATTGTCTGTCGGCCTGAAAGCCGAAGGTCCTTTGATAGTCCGACCGGACGAGAGAGATCTGACTCAATATTATGATAAATACAGACTCACATCAAGGAGTTCAAAAACCTTCATCTTTCTCTCGTTTTAATATTCTTCAAAATTGTTCAATATGTCAGACAAACCCAAGGTTCTCTTCCTAGGCAGCACCAAGCAGTAAGTTCTCGTTCGTACCTTAGAGAACATGAATATTTTCTGTTCTTCTTCTACCGATATCGTAGTTAACATGTTTCTCTAGAGCTCATGAGGAGTTTGCCTCGCTCTGTGAGATCGTGGAACCTATCTACCCAAAGTCCACTGAGCGATCTGCCTTTATAGAAGAGACCAAGTCTGGCGCTTTTAATGGAATCAAGGCTATCTACCGTACAAGCAAGTCTGTTAGCATCACTGGACTCTTTGATGCTGAGTTACTGGATGTCTTCCCTAAGTCTCTCAAGTTCATTTGTCATAATGGTAAGTTCTCCGAGTCCACAGTAACCCAGGTTTACTAAGTAACTACTCCAGGCGCCGGATATGACCAAATCCATGTCCCAGAATGCACTTCTCGTGGTATCCGCGTTTCAAATACACCCACGGCTGTAGATGACGCTACGGCTGATATCACTATTTTTCTTCTCATCGGTGCCTTGAGAAATATCTCATCCTCCATCTTCACTCTGCGAGATGGAACGTGGCGGGGTAACCCTCCTCCATCCCTTGGTCATGATCCTCAGGGCAAAGTGCTGGGTATTCTGGGTATGGGAGGCATTGGTCGTAATGTCGCACGCAAAGCCCGCGTTTTTGGAATGACTGTGAGATATCACAACCGTAGTCGTTTAACGCCTGATCTAGAGGACGGTGCTGAATATGTTGACTTCGAGACACTTCTTAAAGAGAGTGATGTGTTGAGTCTCAACTTACCCCTGAACGTGAGTCCAGTCACGGTTTGAGTATTCTCCGGAGTCTTAACTGACCGTTCATAGCCCAAAACTCGACATACTATCGCAAAACCTCAATTCGACATCATGAAACGTGGCATTGTAATCGTCAACACCGCTCGTGGCGCAGTGATGGACGAAGCTGCTCTCGTTGATGCACTCGAGTCAGGAAAAGTTGCCAGTGCTGGCCTTGATGTATTTGAGAATGAGCCAGAGGTTCACCCAGGGCTCTTGAAGAATAAGAACGTACTGCTTGTTCCACACATGGGTACTTGGACTGTAGAAACTGAAAGACTGATGGAGGCTTGGGCTATGGACAATGTTCGTCTTGTAGTGACAGAAGGAAAGCTGAAGAGTATCGTTTCTGAGCAGAAGGACCTACAATAGACGGCACACTTTGCTAAATAATGTAGCATATGGTGCAAATAGACTTAAGACCTATAAAAGGAATACGGATAAGATCTTATATCTTCTTTGGCCCTTAACATAGACCTGATGATAAGTTAGAACCAACCTTATCTCTTCTCAATTACTTTGTGGTTGTTAACCTTTAGCAAACTCAACAGTGAGAAGAGACAGGGTACAACAACGAGCCCAGATAGGATCACAGAGCACAGCATCCCTTGATCGTTTTACTCGAAGACTGCGTGGAAGTGGCTTATGTCCAAGCAAGAGTATAGTTAAAACATAAGAGAGCAAACATCACATGAAGAAGCAATAGTGTTAGAGTCAGAATATCTCTTTTTGAAGTTCTACTCTATCCTGGCCACGGTTGACGGGCCTGCCTTTATCGAGTTACCATTCCATCCATCCCTATGGGGGAGGTCTCGTCTTGGTCATATCCGTCCATTCATTCCATTCATCATCCATTTTTATAATCTCGAAGGGGGAATCATGATTAGCAAAAAAGCCAACGCCATTTTGTTGAAAAAGCAAGATTTTTTTGCCCCTCCCTGCACCCTGCGAGGAGTCTTCTCTTCTTGAGATTAGAGAAGTAACCCAAATAAGCAGAAACAAAGAAGAGAAGAGAAAAAAAATCAGAAAACCGCAGATGTCCTTGTAACTCTCCCAACCCATATGCCATGCAAGTTCATGCTGTTGAAACTAGAATTTTGCCGATTGTCATGTCGACAGAAGAGGGAAAAGTTCGTTACACGTAGGAATCCAGTTGAAGGATCCTGGGTATTGATTACACACACTTAGTAGCGGTAGATATCGGCCTTGAAGGGACCCTCAACGGTGAGGCCGAGGTACTCAGCCTGGACCTTGCTGAGGGTGCTGAGCTCAGCCTGGCAGTGGTCAAGGTGGAGACGGGCGACCTCCTCGTCGAGAATCTTGGGGAGGACATAGACACCAACGTCGAGCTTGTCGGTCTTGGCGAACTCGACGTACTTCTCACCCCAGGCCTTGTCGGCGGCCTTGTACAGCATGATCTGGGCAAGGACCTGGTTGGTGAAAGAGCAAGACATAACGAAAGAAGAGTGACCAGTAGCACAGCCAAGGTTGACGAGACGACCCTCAGCAAGGAGGATGATGTGGCGGCCGTTGGGCATGAGGAAACGGTCAACCTGGGGCTTGATGTTCTGGACAGAGCTGGCGTTGGCCTTGAGCCAAGCAACGTCAATCTCGATATCGAAGTGACCAATGTCTGTTTACCAATGTCAGTGATGAACCATCAAGCGAAAGAGTGATGTAACTTACTGCATACGATGGCGTCGTTGGGCATAGCCTCGAAGTGCTCGCCAGTGAGAATGTCACGGCAACCGGTGGTGGTGACGAAGATCTGACCGACCTTGGCGGCCTTCTCCATGGTGGTAACTTGGTAACCGGCCATAGCAGCCTGGAGAGCGTTGATGGGGTCAATCTCGGTAACGAGGACACGGGCACCCATGCCGTGGAGGGCCATAGCACAACCCTTACCGACATCACCGAAACCGGCAACGACGGCGACCTTGCCAGCAATCATGACATCGGTAGCACGCTTGATACCGTCGACAAGGGACTCACGGCAGCCGTAGAGGTTGTCGAACTTGGACTTGGTGACGGAGTCGTTGACGTTGATGGCGGGGACAAGGAGCTTGCCGTCCTTGAGCATGCGGTAAAGGTGGTGGACACCGGTGGTAGTCTCCTCAGAGACACCGAAGCAGTCCTTGAGCATCTCAGGGTACTTCTGGTGGACAAGGGTGGTCAGGTCGCCACCGTCGTCGAGGATGAGGTTGAGCTTCTTGTTGTCCTTGAAGGCAGTGAGCTGCTGCTCGAGGCACCAGTTGTACTCCTCCTCGGTCTCACCCTTCCAGGCGAAGACGGGGACACCGGCGGCGGCAATGGCAGCAGCGGCGTGGTCCTGGGTGCTGAAAATGTTGCAGCTGGTCCAGGTAACCTCAGCACCGAGAGCAGTGAGGGTCTCGATGAGGACGGCGGTCTGGATGGTCATGTGAAGGCAGCCAGCAATGCGGGCACCGGCGAGAGGCTGGTCGGCAGCATACTTGGCTCGGGTCTGCATGAGACCGGGCATCTCGTTCTCAGCGAGCTCAATCTCCTTGCGGCCAAAGGCGGCCAGAGAAAGGTCAGCGACCTTGAACTTGTGGGCGGGAGCAGACATGATGAATGGATGTGGAGGAAGGGATGAAAGGATGGATGAGAGGAGGGAAAAGAAGAGAGAATAGAAAGAGAAGAAGAAGGACTGAAAAAGTTGAATGGGAAGAGGAAGAATATGTAGGTTGTAGAATCAACAACGAGATAACATTGGGCGGGGCAGAGAGAACTGCTTCTATGGGCTGAGAACCTCTGGAGGGGCCTGGAGGGGGAGGGGTTGACCAGGGCCCAGCAGTGTCAGTGGGGTTTTTTTTCGCGGGCGGTGAAGTCGATGGACGGCAAAATGAGGGGCAGAATTTTCTTCTACCATTGAGGCCCAGCAATTTTGAGGCGGGGCAGAGCAGAAATGCACTCCGAGTCCAGTCGATCTTCAGGCTAGGTACTTGTAAACGGGTGGTTGGCTGGGCACTGAACCTGATACCTCGACAACCTGACGGATTGAAGCGCCAAAAGGTACCTCCGAGTGGGAGTGGACCTCAGGGACTCGGAGAATCCACCAGAGGAAAAAATAAAGAGGAGCTTTCTCATGATGGGAAGCTCCTCCAGGTCTTGGTACGAATACGGGACTAGTGAGAAGGAGACCACGTTGATTTTTCCCATTCAGTGAGTGGGCAAATAATTAGACTTCTTTTTTACTGTCCAGATCTACCGTTTGTTCGTCAATTGATCACTCCGACTGTGCATAACTTGCTTCGTACAGATGCAGCGTTGGCTGACTTTGACCCTTGATATTCCCCGCTCGGAAGCCGAACACCGCTTCACGCGAACACTACGGGTCATTGATCGTCTGCAAGCTACGAACATACCGACTAATTTGTATATCCGAATATTCTGAGGAGAGAGTCAGCTCGGAGGCACCTCTTTGGTCTCGTTATAAGACTCGGGATGGTACCAGACTCATCAGATCGTCTCATACATCTTTTTGATATGCGTGAGATGAGATATTTATACCACGAAACCCCCTTGTCTTATAATGACCAACTCAGATTAAATCCCGACATCATTTGCCGAGTTCACTGAAAGACAAAACAGCAAAGTGACGGTACCGATAAACTTCCAAACGTAAAATTGTTTCACTGCTCTCAGACTTTGAGAACTTGT